TTAAAGACAGACTGGACTGGGACCTGATAATCTTGTACGTACGTCATTGTCTTATCTACGTATTAGTACTTCCTGCACGCATACCACTACTGCTACTACATGTAATAATAAAGGAAACGATAATAATAATAACAAATATATATATACAGAATATACTTTTTATATAATCTTCAATATATTACGTATCTAGAAAAATCTGTCAATTCCACTCATATTCCTGGATACATCATCTTAATCACTAACATACGATCAGTGTCAGTCAGTACCCCTCACATGCACACACCAGACTGACTCTTTCTCTCTCTCTTCACCTATAATAATCTACCAACCAAACAAATTACACCAATCTGTCTCAGCTACTTATACTAACGAAAAGTCTCTCTACATTATCACTAATATATAATCAATGTCAATCAGTTAGCAACACACTCACGCATGGGGGCGTCTGTCTGTCTGACTGTCTGTGTTCTCTATAATCAGTAAACATACAGTGTACATCAACGTGTCCAAGAGAATAATGATATGGCATCCCCTGGCCAGCTGGACCCATGCTAAGAGAGGAAGGAAGGCCGGAAGGAACAAAAGAAAGGAAGGAAGGAAGGAAGGAAGGAAGGAAGGAAGGAAGGAAGGAAGGAAGGAAGGAAGGAAGGAAGGAAGGAAGGAAGGAAGGAAGGAAGGAAGGAAGGAAGGAAGGAAGGAAGGAAGGAAGGAAGGAAGGAAGGAAGGGAAGGAAGGAAGGAAGGAAGGAAGGAAGGAAGGAAGGAAGGAAGGAAGGAAGGAAGGAAGGAAGGAAGGAAGGAAGGAAGGAAGGAAGGAAGGAAGGAAGGAAGGAAGGAAGGAAGGAAGGAAGGAAGGAAGGAAGGAAGGAAGGAAGGAAGGAAGGAAGGAAGGAAGAAGAAGGAAGGAAGGAAGGAAGGAAGGAAGGAAGGAAGGAAGGAAGGAAGGAAGGAAGGAAGGAAAGTAATCCAGTAATTATGTCTGAGGCCGTCTATCATATACCCTCCCAAGATTTTGTTGTACCCCCTCACCGCAGAGCTACACGTCACCTCCTAAACGCTATTACCTCATTAATCAATTTAAAGAAAAGAAAAGAAAAGAAAAGAAAGAAAGAAAAAAGAATATATAACCAACAGCAGCAGAGATCACAAATAATAACAAAAATAGTAACGATAATTAGGAGGGGTTTTTTTAAGAGACATAAATATGACAGGAATTTATCGTTGGAACCGTGGACCCAGAGTACGGTACAAGGGAGGGGTGGTGGCTGCTACCTCCTACTCTTATTCTTCTCCCTCCTCTTATTTTTCTTCTTCCTCTTCTTATTCTTCTTCCTCCTCCTCCTCCTCCTCCTCTTCTTATTATTCTTCCTCCTCCTCTTCTTATTTTTCTTCCTCCTCCTCTTCTTATTCCTCTCCCTCCTCCTCTTATTTTTCCTCCTCCTCTTCCTCTTCCCTTTTCCACCTCCTCTTCTCCCTCCCAGCAGCTCCAGGTGATACACGCATCTGGGTCATCACGATATCCCCCGATCAAGACCCCCATAGCCCCATGAAATCAATCACATCCTTTTCTCAGAGGTGGGGGCACGTCTACATCATGACACCTACAGCCAATACACCACCCTTCCATCTTGACAAATCACTCCTCCACCCACAATCCCCACACAATGTCCTCCCATTTAGAGCTCTGGCGCAGGTGAGGTGAAGTAGTTATCGAGAGCCTCTGTCAACCATAACTTTGGTCACAAGAGAATTACTGTACGAAGAATTAAGGAATAAATTCACCAACATATTTTACCCTAACAATACATTATAAACATTTTAAAAACTGTTTATTCTGGCATCTTCTTTTATATATTTCCGTCTCTCGTCTCCCTCTCATTCACAGTCTCAAATGCACAATCGAGAGTATGCATAGCCTAAGTGATGCAGGTGTTAAGAGGATTATGAAAAAATGAAAACTGGTTCTCCGAAAATATAGGACTATGTCGGGAAAATGAAGCAAGAATGGTGAAGAAAGATGATTGAGGATGTAAGTGAAAAGGCCGCCAACATCAAAGTAAGTTCAGTGTTCCTTGTATTCCGGTTTTTGCACACATGGAAACAGACTAAGGAATCCTTACCCACTGTTAAGAGGTTAATTAATGTTAAAACAGGTCGAAACAACTTATAATATCATGTTTTTAAAGAGAAGTAGGCAAACATTTCCTTGTAATCTTGTTAATTCAATCCACATCTCAGGTTACACATTTCATACAGTAACTAATTGTAATCTATGTTGGCTTTACTTATTAAACAAACGTAACTTAACCTTAATTCAATATAACTTACTAAATTGAACCTAACTCCTCATAAACAAAGAAAACTAAATCAAATGACACTAAGTTTACCTAATTTAATGCACCTGAACTAAAAGTGACCCAACTTGACCAAGGTTAAACCACTTAATTAAATCTCTATTGGGCTGGTACCTGTGATTCTCAACCAACGCGTAAGACAACTGATGTATAATGGCAGGCATATGATTAACCTTTCTGCCTCGGTAAATGCAAATCCTTCTTACCGTCAATCCTTGTAGAATCACCCAGACGACCACCGCCCCACAGGACAAGCTCTCTCCTGCTCGTGTCTACAGTTGTCTTACTTCTCTCACCCTATTAACCCCTCCCCCCCCTTTCTTTAGCTCCTTCACTATGGGACGCCACTTTTAACATTCTATTTGGATAATGCCAGATGATTTTATTCGACAGAGAGCCGACCCCATACACAAGTGGTTAAAGTTTCCCAAGCCATTGATCCACCCCCAACCAAACGAAGGAACAAAATTAAGTTACCAGACATATATATATGATCATCACAGCTCTGCCATTTCCCCAACACACTGACATCCAAAATAACAAGAGATAATTACATATTAAATACATATCAGTGGGATATTTCTGATACACATATATTACTCACCTTAGTGTGTTATCTGCGAGGACTATATGTGTAATTATACTCAATGTACTAAACCAATGTATGTCTTAAAACACATAAAAAAAATACATATGGTAGAGTATTGTATATGACAAATCACTTACCTGTAGCACAAATACTCTTAAAAAAAACACATTATATTTCATAGATAAAGTTAACAATATTAAAGAAGAGTATCCAGTCACATGTGGTAATCTTTTCAAAGGGTGACAAAAAAACTTTGCAATGATGACTGAAATGCAAACACTACACACTCATTCTAAAAGCAATTCTAGATCTGCTTTACACATTAAACTTCTGTTATAAAACAATATGATCTAATACCTGTTACACTGCCTTCTGGTGTGAAAGACTGAAATACTGTATCAATTACCTAGAGCAGATCACATGATGACTAGTCCGCCAGCTTTGTACCTTACCTAACCCAACCTAACATAATGCTAACCTAAATCACACTAACTCAAATAAAATCTAAGTTAAACCAACATAATCTAACCCAACCTAAACCAGGAGTGTTATGGTGTTTAATCTTCAGGTGAAATAAGCTAGGTGGGGGGAGGGTCTTCATGTGATCCCTAACCAATGCACAAGAAACAAAATATAAACTATTCATAGACTACTTCCATAAAGCCAGACATCATCTGAATATATCACGTGAAATGACCAACACAAAACTTTTAATAATTACAGAAAATTAACAATTAGATTTTTGAAACACCAGACAATCACATTCTTAATCTGCTCTTATAATATTAAATCCGAGTTAAATCTGAGCTAAGGAACCGTGGGAACAATTATCAGTCAAGACAGACGAATAAACTCCCATGCAAACTAAAAGGCTGCATGCACGGTCCTCTCACACATGCAACACCCACTGGAAATATTCAATCAATCTCGAGAGACTTTACGGAATTATACGTTATCTCTGTCTGTTCACTTCCCGGCGACTCACAAACATTAGTAATCTTTCTTATATATGATGAAGCTCCTATCTCCTAGTACTGAAAGACGGCCTACTATACTATCTTCTATTTGTGTAATGCTATATATACAGGGTGTTAGAAAAGTCCCTGTCCACCTATAATAATTAACAATACAATAATTGTTCCTTGTTGTAACTACATTGTTTTTTATCTTTATCTACTTACAGTAAATATTGTAAATGGTCACTGTAAAATGTTGGAAGTAGAAACCATTCCCAATATTTACCGTAGGTAGAACAAGGTGATGAGCAATGTAGGTATAACCCGGGTGTTGGCAAGAAAGCCTTTTTTACTTTATGGTGCCAGTAAAATACACTCTGATACCTAAAGAGCGTGTCAGTCCAACATTTGGCAAGACTCCTAGTTTTCCTTGTACACAGTTGAATATATTGGAATCTTACCCAAGTTAATTTTTCCTGTTTTACTTCACCATTGCTGCCTAATCTACATAATGTATATTCAATCAAACTATTGTATCTTTTCTTGTGTAATCCTTGGAAGTGCACTAGAGCTCTAACAAACACACGACACAGGTCACTACAAGGTCGTTATATTCCATGCCAGGGTTATCAAAAAGAACTGAAGTACCAGGAGGAATAAGTGTAACTGTAGGGTGCTCCGTCGGTCTTCCCAGAGCACCAACGACAGTCACAACAGAGCGTGTCGAATTCACCTCCACATTAGATATATCTGAACCCACGCCTCCCCATCTATTCTCTCTGAATGAGAATCAAAGGCACCAATTCATTTTATAACCATCAGTGAGAATTTTAAGGAAAACAATGTCTCATTTTCACATTATAATGAAAACCCTGATACTTCATTTTCTATAATCTAAAAACTAAGGCGACGTTTGAGATAAAATTCGTTCACTACGGACCAGACTCATAACAACACTGCACAAGTTAACTTTAAGCATTCATGTGAAAGTGCCACAATATTATGACTAAATAAAGTATGACTGACAAAGTGCCACTGTATTGTTTAAGTAAAGCACTAGACAACATACATCTAATAAAGCTAGGTAAAGGTGATAGTTTACCTGAGCTATCTGTAGTGAGGCCATGTAAGAAGGATGCAGTGAGGTGAGTTTTACACACAATAATGGTGGTCAATAATTTACTTTTTGCAAAACCCATAACACCTTCAAAAGCAATATATCCAGTACAATCTTGTGCTTGATATATTTAAATTCTAAAAATCTTGACTGAATAAATTACAAACATGAATTTGAAGTATAAATTGAAATATCTTTGGTGTTAAACTTTGTGGCAATATTTAATCTTTCATCTGTTAACACAAGGCCTTTTCTCTTCTTGAACTCATGCTTACATCACTCCATACTCAGAGGCATGAAAAATACAATTTCTTAGTCACAGAAAACTATACAACACAGATACATATAATAAGATGGATCAAAACTCCTTAATCAACTCAAGTTTTAAATATTAACTCACATCTCTCTATTTTACTGTTTAAAGAAATTAGGAAATCTTACGAGAAATACAGTCCATTGGCTCCACAAAACACTAAATGCATAAAAAAAAAAAAATTAAATACAGAAATGAAAAACACAATAAGAGCCAAGTTCATAGTTTAAATATTTACTTCATGAGGCTTAACTGATTCCCAAGGTTTTCATAATCATTCTTTACAATTTCATGAAACACATCCTGTAAATATGTAAGGAATGCACTACTGTACACATATGCCAATAAGTACTGTACACTAATATTTACAGAGAAACACCAAGTAAACCGACTCAGGTTATGAGGTGAACAATAACAGGTCAACCTACTGTGTGTAGATATACTTCAACTAAACCAAAAAATGTTAAACAATTCTCTACAAAAATAAAGATAAATATAAAACTCTGGTAAATTCATCAATACAAAAGAAGAAATATTGAAAAAAAATCAGCAACACAAAGCTTCAAAATATTACTGAGTTTACATAAGCGACGACAGCACACACTTACTTGAGACTCTATCACCCACTGCTCCTCTTTAGCCTTGACTTCATCCGTCAAGCGCTTGAGAGCTAACTGTGACTTGTCTCTTTCATCTGTTATCGCTCCAACAGTTGACTCCAATTTGGCAAGTTGTTCCTGTAAGCTGGCCACCTGATTCCCAAAGGATTCACACCTATAAGAAAGATACAAAAAATAACCAAATAAACTTTTGAAATAAAAGAGATAGAAAGACACCATTATGTGAATGCAATTGTGAGTTAATATATAAAACTGCCACAAAACGTAAAAAATAAAAACAGAATTGCATAAAGACAATAAAGCTCAACAACAATGCTTCGTAATGTTACAACAGTAATAACTACAGAGAGATTATAACTCCAGAAATAAAAGAATGACGTTCTCAGTCCTTGGGGCAGGGGAGCCAAAAATGTGTTAACCCTCGTTGTTTATATAAGTGACAAATGAAGGTCTATAATAATGTAAGATACAATAAAATTTCTATTAAGGAAAACTTTTAAGAATCATAATGCAGAAAAACATTAAATCTATTACCAACAAAATTATAATTATCTACAACAGAGGAGACTAATGGATGCCTTTAAACCAAGTTGACTGTAATTGAAATAAAATAAGACAACTGTTTAGGAAAAATTACTGTATTCAGCAAAAGAATCTATCCTTCACACACAGGAACACGGATACATCAACTACAAATTACTTCTTGCACACAAAATCCCTCCCCTTACACAATACTGTTAGTAAATCGTCCACCCATTTCATCTATATTACCTCACTACCCTAGGAAGTTCCCCTCTGAAAGGGTTACCACAAGAAAAAAAAAACCCACTCCCGGTTGCCTTAGAATAAAACATATCCTCAGCCCTCTTTATTCCCTTCACTCCCCTCCATGGTTCAGTAAAATAACACAATGTGGTAAATTAATAAGCATGAATACACACCACCACCCACCCTCTCCCTCCCAGTCTATTTTAGAATCCTGTATTTTTGTACCTGCTAAAAATGATAAACAAATGATCCTGGACTTTTTTTTTCTATACTCTATTATAATTTGTTCTCAATCTATCACTTAACTTGGGGCCTATCTGTCTTCACCTTTCACACCTGTTAATTGAGGGCATTAACTTCAGTCCCCAGTCTTTCATTATAAAATCCACAGTTAAGTTATAAATGACTTGACCATTTCCTGTTGATATTTATTACAATGTCAATAAACCCGTGTAAACCTGCTGTGCAGTATGACAGTTCTCACCCGACCAACCAAGACTGAAACAATGCTTCAGATTCCTCGTCTGGTGTTGGCCTCGAGAACAAGTGAAGCTTTAGTCCACTGGGATGAAGCCTTTAGATTGGTTTATACGTCATCCTGAATCGCTCTGTTATAAATGAGACCTGATTTTTCTCCCTGCCTAGACACACAACCAAACAAGTACAGTTCCATTACAGGTCCGATGAATTTCAAAATGAACACCAAGACTCCTGTCGTCTTGGCAGGGTTGTAAAAAATCATTAGTCCGTTGTGTCATATTGTTTAATAGATACTGTAATCGTAAAGATACTTTTTGGAGCGAGTGTACATTTTCTGCAGACACCAGAAGGCAAATACTATGTTAAACTAGATACCATGGTCTTACCTTCCTTGTTCATCTTCTAGCTTGACCAGTGCAGTTTCTAAGTCAAAAGTGTGCTGGGCCTCAGATGCTCTCAACCTTTCCTCAGCCGTGGTGAGTGCAAGGTTGAGAGATTCTATCTCGCGCTCTGTGTTTTCTCGTAGCCTAGAGGTGTCGGCAGCTCTACCCTCAAACTCCCGGCAGCGTCCACGATACTCGCGTACCTGAGGACGACGCTCGAGATTACTTGTGGAAAAAGGTTCATATCATCAAATTCTTCTGAACATAATATTTTCCTAACCAAAGAGAAAAACCATTAATATTAAGAATAATATAGTTGGTTCTAGGACAATTCATCTCCAGACAATCCTTCACCAGTTTAGTTTAAACTTAACCTAACCATGGCTTCATCACCTCCATAACAAAGACATTATAATCTAATTTTAATAAATACAACACAAAATTCAATAAACCACCGACAAATTCTACGGTGACGATATGTCCGCCCAACGATACTATTACACGTCAAATTACAGGGGGTATATATAATAAAGAATTTAAAATAGGTGTGTGACTGCAAGTAATCACAGCGGTCTCCTAATACCCCTTCATTAACCTTGACCCATTATCCCTTGTGATCTTGTATTGACTTTGATAACCGATTGGCTCTGATTACCAGGGATGTCAACTGAAGAGCTCCAATACACGCAAAGGCTTTAAATGGAGAAGGTTCAGTGTAACCCAATTTCATTATTTTTAAAAGAATCATTATAAACATCATCTAAATACATAGAATGTCTAAAATACAGTATATTCTCAGGTCTTGTATCTGTCTAAAACAAACTGAATGGTTCACTTAGTTTCAAATACAGAAACATCAATGGGTAACTCTTTAATCTCTCTCTACATAAAGACTTTACAAACCTAGGTGACAAGTGGGTAAACATTTGCATCAGAAAATCCTCTATTAAAACTTTCCTCACATATTCTGGAGTTTACTTCTACGAGCAGATTAATCTACTCCTATAATCCTACCCCTAAGTGGCCTGGGGGTCTGCAGCCGAGGGAGTGTGATTGGTTGAAGATGCAGATATAAAATGACAGATAATCACAAAAAGACAAAAGGAACAATCACATAACCTTCTCAAGCCCTGGAATTATCATATGGCATCTTTTGTTATGTTTGTGAACTTTTGCTAAACACTCGAACACACAAACTTCCTCATCTACACACACACAATAGCCACCTCAAGGCAAATGTGGATTCACTCCAACAAATGCATTCCTGAGGATGTTTTCCCCCATGTTTGGTAAGGAATGCCAGCCAATGCCAGTTTATACTCATGGCTAGGTTGTGAGTGGACAGCACACATATGTTACAGCAGTGAGTGTACATCAACAAGGACTATGTCAGAGGCTGCTCCTGATTCAAGCCAACAAGCATTTTTGCAGAAAGGGGCTTCAGAGGGTGAGTGTGAAATATCTTCTATCAATCAGTCTTGGTTTATTTTGATGTACTTAAGTCTCATAAGATTATCCTTAAGTCATCATGTGAAATAAACTGATGCAAGATATCTATACCATATTGGCTGAAGGCTTCACCAATACTGCATTACTATATTCTCTTTGCTCGCCGATGAGTACGGCAAATACGACAACACTTTCTATCCAAACAGATACACCAATTAACTTTTCCACTGCTTAACATGACAAGGAAAATAATGATAATAATAACAAAAATAATAAAAATAACAATAACAACAAAACAACTACACACTACAATACCTTGTTAGCCAGCCGGTCTATGAGGGTTGTCTGCTTACGGTGAACCTCGTGGAAATACTCCAGTCTCTTCTGATACTCCTGCCACTCGTCCGCAACCTGTCACCACAAAACATCATTATAGCATAAACTCATAATCCTTAAATTCAGTACCAGTATATATATATATATATATAAATTTTCTCACATTCCTTTCTCATCATTCCAAAATTTCACCCTTGTACTAAAATTACATTCTTGTTAATTGTTTGTTTCTTTTAATCATTACTGCAAAAAAAAAAGACAAATTATAACACTTTTCATATTAAGATGAAACATGAAGATTCTATAAAACCTTCTCCAACACCCGGGTACGATGGATGTGAGAATGGGCAGAACGGAGGCTTGTTCACCTCGGAATGGTTTCAGATTCTTCGTTCAGTTTTCAGATTGCACAGTGCTTATAGGTTGAGAAGTTTTTGGTGAGCGTACAGCTGGGGGGGATATTAGTCCTTAATGTGGGAGGTTCATGATGTCTTCCATGACCATATCCAGAGTATGAGAATGTACTGTACTATATACTTGAATTTCCAAACAACATAAACTAACAAAACCTAATCTAAACTACCTTGGAATCCTTACGCTCGGTTAGGTTCTGTTAGGTTAGATTAAGTTAGGTTACACTAAGTTAGGTTAAATTAAGTTAGGTTAGGATAGATATGATAAATTTTAATAAGATAAAAGTATGTTAGATTGTTAGGTTAAATTATCTAAGTTTGGGGGGCAAGATAAAGTTAAATCAGATTGTTAGATTAAATAATTAGATGTTAGATTAAAGTATGTTAGGTTTGATTAACTTAGGTTAGGTTAGAGTAAGTTAGCTTAAGCTAGATTAAGGAGGTTAATCTTGAAACGAAATAAGCGTGGAGGACTAATCTTCAGATGAACCTAAAATATAAAGGTGTACACAGTAAGTGCGTGGGGCCAGACTCACATGGTCGGACAGGGCATTGTAACGTACAGAGACTGTGTCACGCTCAGTTCGTGAGGCGACCAACATGTCTTCCAGGCGCCTTACTTCTGTCTCCAGATACCTCGTCTCCTCCTGCCGATATTTAAAGTCACACTTAATAACACTCTACACCAATGATGAAAATAATATTAAATAGTAGTAGTAGTAGCTGAGTAGTAGCAGTAGTAGGTAGCAGTAGCTGAGTAGTAGTAGAGGCTGAGTAAAGTAGTTATAATAAAAACAAAAACAACAATAATAAAAATAAAAATAATAATAACAATAATAATAATAATAATCAGTAAAATCACCATACAAGTTTACAATTGGTTTGACATATATATATAGACCATCCAGGTACAGTATTTAGTTCAGCAGACAGACAGACACACACACGAGAGAGAGAGAATTTCTGTACGGTCATAATATGCTGAACTCATCATTAGATCATCCTGAGTCATCATCAACAATAATAATAATACCTTCAAACTGATGATCGGATCCTCAGATGGTGTCAATCTCACCCTCCTCCTCCTCATCTTCCTCTCCTTCACACACACGTCATCACTATCACTGTGCTCTTCTTTCCTGTCTCTCTTCCTTCTCCACCTCCTCCTTCTCTTAGCCCCATCATCACTCTTTGCTCTCCTCCCCATACATAGTTCCCAGGCTACTCCATACTCCGCTTTACGGTTCTTGGTACACTCACTGTCACTCTTACTCCTACTTCCCCTCTTCTTTACTCTTTGCCAGTTCCCATCTTCACTCTCCTCCCTCACTTGTTGCAGGAGGCCATAATGGTACCTAGGGTCATCACACTGACCTTCCCGGCACCCGAGGTCATGTCTGGTCCTCCAATATAAAGACGGTCCCATGGAGGATGACCCGGTAAACTTCATCAGTCAAGCACTATAAACACACCCACTTAGCCAACGACACACTCATTTACCGTCTCCACCTTCAAGAACACACACATAACATAATAAATAACTAAATAACCAAATAACACCACACAAACCACTGAACAATACCCCGAGTACTGTAACGCTGTAAAGATACGTGAACCCCCCCGGACAAACTCTTCACAACACATTTTTAGGCGAATATGGAGGCCTTGCGTTTTAAATTCTCTATAAAAAAATATGAATTAATGTATCTAGGCTCTGACTGCCACTCAAACATGCAGGAGTGTTATGTGTGTTGGTTAGGGAGCGCCAGGCAGAGGTTCGACTGACTGACGTGACATCACCAGGTGTCGAATTCACGAGCGAATCTGTTTCTTTACTTGCCCTTTAATGCTGCCAATAATACCCGCTTTTTAAATAGTCCCAATACACAGCTTTCTTTTCATTATAGATGTTTATTTTTTGTGGTAAGGCTCGATTAGTCTTATTTAAAATGTGTTCTTGTAATTCCAGTAACAAGGAGAGACTAACGTGTAAACCTGAGACTACAGCCCACCACCACCGCTGTATCGAGGATCACTGACAACTTTCACTCATACACTCACTTCATTGTCAGTTTGTCTATCAGCGACATTATGCTTAATATATTTTCTGGTGAGTGTTTTCAGGCGAGAGGATGGCACACGAGGAAGGGTTGAAGGGTGTTGAGTGTGTGTATGGCGGAGGACGAGCACTGGCGCACTCTAGCTTCCCCTTGTCCTGTTTGAGTACCACCAATTATCTATATGTTCTCGTTAGTGTTGATACCACCACTACCCACACACCCCTTACCACACCACACACCCCTAATAACCATAACCCTCCTCACCACACACACACTATATCTGCCTCACACCACCACAAACACACCCTCACCCGACACAACCACAGCACACACTCACACCACCGTACCACACCTTCACTTTCAGTCATCGCCCCAATACTGACACAAACATAATAATTAAAACGACGAAAAAATATAAAAATAATAATCTTCTTTCCTGCAACACCCCCCCCTCCCTACTGACTCATCAAACACGTCTTCGAGATAGGATCAGAGAGGTCGATAAGGCCGTGAGTGTACAGGTAACAAGTAGTGTCATGAACCTTATGTTGGGGGATGATCCTTATCTGCTAGCCAACACGTACTAACCCCCCTCCCCCATGTGTGTCATTATTGCTAGCCACTTGAATCGAACTTGTTGTGGTCCGCTGTACTCCACACCACCCACTTGACTCGTACTTGTTGTGGTGGGAGAGGGGGGGGGGGGGGGGGAGGAAGGAGGCCAGGTAGGCAGTGAGTGAGCGCCAGTAACTTCCTGAAGGAGGCTGATGAAGGTGGAACACACCCTAGGATTATTATCTGGTGCCTGAGGTGGTGGTAGTGGTGGAGGGGGGACCTGGGTGACTACTCTCTCTCTCTCTCTCTCTTTCTCTCTCTCAGTAACACGTCAAAACTCTGCAGATGTCTCTCTCCAAATCACACCAAGACTGGCGTAAAATAATCCATTGTAGTGATGGCGACAGTGATAGATCAGACGTTCCTCCTGTTATCAAACTGCCAGGTGCGTCACGGAGTAAATAATTCACTACGTCTCTAAAACTGCAGAAGAAAATACAAAATACTGCACCCAGGAATACAAAACCTCTTTATAATGTATACTAACAGACAACTACAGAGTAATACAAAACCGAATCACACTGAAATACAAAACAAATACTGTATAACTTACTTAACAAAAACAAAAGACTACCGATTCCAAGCCACACATTATATTCCCTATCAACCCTCAACAACAAACAACTTTTAATTTCACAGTAAACAAATACCTTAACACTGTACAAAGCCAACCACACCACGTCGGTAATGGCGGTAGTGTATGGGTGGACGAGAGATGGCACAGTAGGGATACAACTTCCTCATTTACGACAGAGAGAGGGAAGGGGGAAGGGGGATGGGGGAAGGAGGGAGGGCTGGAGGAGGGGGGAGAAGAGGGCGGGAAGAGGGGGTGGGTAGACCAAGAGTTCCTCCCGGTAGGTATTCCTAAATTACCCCAACACAAAGAATCCTCGTGAAGTGATGGCCACGGCACGCGATAATCTGCTCACTGAGGTTATTCTAGAGTCCTGTGGCTGGGTCTCTCTCTCTCTCTCTTGCTTCCTGCTTCATTCATTCCTCCCATTTCATGATTAATTTTGACCCCGGGACATGATAGGGTAGGGTTAGGAAGGGTAGGGGGTAGGGTAGGGTGGGTAGGGTTGGGTAAGGTGGTGTTGGGTCGGGTTGGGTTCACTGTACACAAAGTATAGATTCACTCGTATGTAATTCCATTGTTTTGATTCGCATGCTGGGAGGGAGAGGGAGCGTAGGCAAGGAGTGTGTAATCTCTAATCTGTTTTTCCTGCACTGTTGGGTACAAAACTGCTCTGGGCTGACCTCTAAGCCCTGCCAGTACCAAACACTAACTGTCTGGACCAATCACAAATCCCCACGAGAGTTTAACCCTTTGAGGATGATGATTTAACCCTTAAGAGGACGATGATTTAACCCTTAAGAGGACGATGATTTAATCCTTAGAGGACGATGAACCCACTAGGACTCAAAGGTTTAACAAGGGTTTATATATATACCGCTTTACTGGTGATGCGGCGAGCGATGGACACACACACACACACACACACACACACACACACACACACACACACACACGCTAGCCACACACGCACTGGATGACGCACCTGACAATATCCACATCACGAGATTATATTTATTTTTTTACGAGTACGAATTTAACTAATGCGTTATATGATAATTTCAACCCTAACGCTAACCTAACCTAACCTAACCTAACCTCCTCTCACGGCTACAGAGGTCAAAGGGGCCCATCTCTATCCTACCAGGCCCTAACCCAACTGCTGGCTATTAAAACTGGGAGCAACCTGAGAAGTCACCAATATACACACACACACACACACACGTTATCAATATACAATTTTACCCTGTAATTTCTTCATCTCTCTCTTTCAATCCCCCACCCTAAGCAGCAGGGGGCATATTGCTCTCTCTGTCTGTCTGTCTATGAACCATCGCAAAAGTACCACCACCACGTGAAATAAAAAAACATTGTGTAGAGTAAACAGCAATTACAGGCAAAGTAAGAGAGAGAGAGAGAGAGAGAGAGAGAGAGAGAGAGAGAGAGAGAGAGAGAGAGAGAGAGCACCTTACCTCCAATCTGTACATCTCTGGGTCATCCATGGTGTCAGAGGTGGTGTGAGCCAGGTGAGCGACGGATAGCGGGGTGGAGGGGGAGGTGCTGGGGAAGAGGTCTCGCCGTACACGGGTACTGCCTCCTCCAGGTGTTAGTGGGGGTTTGATCGGTGTGCTAGTCGTCACCCCAGACCTGTAGAGGGATAAAGAACATGTTATGATTGTGTTATTTGTTATACTTTTGTTACATATATATATACGGGATACATACACCTTCTCTGGCTCTTCCTTCTCCTCCCCTACCCATTCCTTCTCCACTTCCTCGTTGTTCTCCTCTATCTCCTCTTCCCCCTCCTCCACCTCCACGTAAATCATCACACATTATTTATCAACGTATAAACTGTTTTTGTTAGATCAGTGTTTTATTTTTTTCTAACAATGAGCCAAATTTTGCCTCAATATTGGGCTTCATCTTTCTTAACTAACGACACGTATTAGAGGCGAGATTATACACGTAAACACGCTATTATGAATCTCTTCCCGGAGCCACACCTTCCAAGACGTCACACCTCCAAGACGCCACACCTCCAAGACGCCACACCTCCAAGACGCCACACCTCCAAGACTCACCACCATCACCCCCTCCCTGTCACCACCGCCTGGCCAGGGCCAGCTTCCTGACACATGTTAAGCTATCACAAGGTCAATCAATATAAACTTGCATGACGATCTATCTATCTATCTATTTATCTATCTACTGGTGAACGTTTGGTCAATTACCGCTTCATATATGACGAGGTACCTAAATGGTCAAGGTGGTTACATCAAGACTCCTAATTGGTCAAGGTGGCGACCCATAGTTGTATCGTGGCACCTAATTCGTCCAGCTGGTGACCACACACACACCGCTCATTTGTCCAGCAACACAAATAAATTATCGTAATTTTCGTTATATAAAACAAATACAACGGTCACATATCACATTTAAACTTGGCATCTACTGTTGGAATTATATAAAAGAAAAAATACTTATTGTAAACATAACACAGCGGGGAAGAGGAAGAAATACGCAGATAAATAAGAGTGAAAATACGAACCACCTCATGTTTAGCCTCCCAAGCTTATTTCACCCTAAAGCTACCTGGGGCCACCAATCAAGGCAAGGTAAGGTAAGGTACATAGCTTAATACAATGACTTCATAAACACAACCTCCTATCATAAATACAGTACAGATAAAAAAAATCAGCTCTACACGGGCCAGTTACAGTGTTTGAGTTACAGACCAGTTACAGTAAACAGCCTTACAGAGACCAAGTCACAGTGCGGGTTTAAGCTACAGTCACCTGCGTCCACTGGGGGTGATTATGACACAGGTATCTGAACATATCTCCCAGGCCGGTTGTTGCGGTGGGTGACGTATGAGGCTCTGTTCCTGCCTCTCCTCTACTCTACCTACCTCTCTCTCTCTCCTCTACCTACCTACCTCTCTCTCTCTCTCCTCTACCTACCTCTCTCTCTGCTAGAGAGGGAGGGAGGATAGAGACAGGAGTACTGATGATGAAGGGTACAGAGTAGAATGGAGAATATATTAAAGAAACACACACACACACACACACACACACACACGCACACGCACACACACACACACGTAATGGTAACCACGAGTCTGCAGATACAATGTTAATTAAGTGATAAAATAATAACCTTAATTCAAAATTCCTCATAACTCGGTAGATATCTGGACCCGTGCATTAAGGGGTTCGTGTAACTCGGGAACCAAACTGGATTATATATATATTTCGGAGTTTTTTTTCTTCTTTTCTTCTTGTAATAAAATAAACAAAATCATATCATTTGTTTATTTTACATGATGATTAAAGAACCTGACCTGACCTGACCTGACCTGCGAGAGAGAGAGAGACGTGCGTGAGGAGCATCGTCATCAACCACCAGAATGTAAACAAACAAACACACGTGGTTCTTAAAAACACGTCCTGACCCCGACTAGTGCAGCACGTGACGTCATCCTCTTATAGCTCCGCCCACTGCTCCTTCCTACCTGATCAAGTTAGCTTTGAATATATCAGCTTCATTATCTCAGCTATTCTTCCTGATGTGAGCCAGATATAATTGTAGCTTTTGCATGCAGGTCTTTGAGGGGTCAAATCACCTTAACAATAACAATAACAACAACAATAAACCACCTTAGATACGAGACATGAGAAAGACAAATGAGAAATACAGGTGAGAAAGACAGGTGTAAATTACCCAGGTGAATCAATCAGGCGGACCCTAATTCAACCTTCAGGTAGGTGGTCGGTCCCACACGCCACTTACCCCCAGAGGACGACCAGAGGTATTAATTACAGGGGAAAATAAGGTCATTGTCTGGGGGTTAATTATGTTTGAGAAGGTGATAAGTAGCGTGTTAAAGAGGGCGGTGGTGGGGGGAGGGGGTGAGAGGTCAAGGGTGCAGGTAGTGGGAGGTGAGATGTGGAGGTGTTGGGAGAGGTGACATGAGGTGGGTGTGTGTGTGTGTGTGTGTGTGTGTGTGTGTACAATATCCCCGTCTCTATCCCATAACACATCTTTTATAAGCATCAATAACAAATCAAAATCTATTATCGTTTCCTATATTCAACAAAATCATTTAAATCCAAAAAAAAAATCATACAAGAAAAACTCGTAATTAATATTGAGGTTAGTGAATGTTGCATGCTGGGAGTCACTACGTCAGCTGCCCTAACCTGACCGTGGCTAATTCTCCCCATTGGCTGGCAGGAAGATCCACTATTATCTCACACGGGGAGTATAGCTCAGTTCTTATTGGCTACCTTCCACCTGCCGCACTACTGCTACTGTGCCATGATGTTGTTGTTGTTATTGATGGCACTGTATTATGATTGTTATTATTATTCATTGTTTAGTATTATTATTACTATTATTTTCATCATTATCATCCTAACTTAAACCAGCTTTAACCCCATCTTTCCCCAATATTTCCCCTGGGTAACAACACAGATAAGATTCAAACCCAATCTCCCCCCCTCTTCCCCACCTTCTATCCTGGGTAACCAACAGCACAGGTAAGGCTCGGCTCCCCCCACCCAGGTGTACTGTATAGCCAGGTATTAAACACAAGGTATATATATAAATATACCTGAGGCTATATTAATTACTGCTATACCTGCCCCTCACCCCTCCACTTCCTACCCCTCACCTACTCCCTCCTACCTGACCCTCACCTACCCCCTCCTACCTGACCCTCACCCCTCACCCTCCTCCACCTCCTACCCTCACCACCTCCTACCTGACCCTCACCTACCCCCTCCTACCTGCCCCTCACCCCTCACCTACCCCCTCCTACCTGACCCTCACCCCTCCTCCTCCTACCCCTCACCACCACCTCACCCAAACTGCCTAATGATCCCTACCTGTTCCTGAAATATAAAATGAGAGTAACGGTGAGGAAGAAAGTAGAAGGGAGAGGGAAGAAAAGGAAGGGGGAAGGAAGGGAGAGAGAGGGAGAGAAAGAGGAAAGAGAGCTAGGTCCCACAGGTACCTCTCTCTCTCTCTCTCTCTCTCTCTCTCTCACACACACACACTCTTAACCTAATCACCTGGAAGCGTCACTGAAACAATTATTCTCTAATGCAGTCTAATACAAGTTAACTAATGACCCTTAAGGTAAATGTACGTGTGAAATTATTACCTTAATTACCCCCAGCCCAGGTGATTATGACAGGTGGGGGGATGTAATTAAGGCAGGTGAGCTCAGGTGATGGAGGGGGTTAAAGACTCGGGGGGTTAAAGACTCGGGGTAATTATCTTATTATGAATTAGTAACATATAAACATTAAATTTACATACATACATACATACATACATACATACATACATACATACACATACATACATACATACATTCAACACTGGATAACCTGACCTGTGGGGCGCGGCGGAGGTGGTGTGGTGACGAAGGTGATCCCCGCGGTAAACGTCAGTGAGGGACCTGGCGCGGGGCTGCAGGTACCGGAGGTGGTCATCCCTCGCTGACCCTGACTCCTCCCCTGTCAGGTCACCGCGACTCAACCTCGACGACGCCTCTCCTACTTCCGGTTCACGTTCTAGGGAGTGGTGTCTGTAGGAGGGAGGGAGGAAGCACCGTCAGTAGAGGAGGGTGAAGAAGGGGGGGGTGGAGGAACAGCGACTACACACACACACATTATAGTGAGGGAGGGAGGAGAAGGGAGGGAGGAATGAATGAGAGGGAGGGAACACGAGGTTATCATCATCTTGGGAGTAACTTAAACCAGTCGATGGTTTATGAGGAAGGGGGTGAAGCAGAGGTGTTATTATTAAACCAAGCATGGTGGTGACAACGGTAACATACACCACACCCTGTACTACCATTACCACACCCTGTATTACTACTACCACCACCACACCCTGCACTACCATCACCACCACACCTTGAGAGTTAATTAACGATATTTACCTGGCTAAGTAAACATATCCTAAATATACTCTCTGAATCTTATAATAAATCACTAAATTACCAAAAGGTGACACAAACAGTAAATAAACAATAACTAAATCACTTTACCTGGCGGAGTCGATGGAGGTGGCGCGGCGAGGTCTGCTACTGGAGGGACGTGGGGAGGTGCCTAGGTTGTGTGTGAGGATGTTCCGTAGTCTGGTGGACACGGCCTCCCCCTCCCGCACCAGCAGCTCCAGGTCACTGTCATGGCGGCCCACACTCCCGCTCAGACGCTGTAAACAACAACGGCGTCAGTCACAAAAATAAAACACGAACACATAAAATAATAATACAAATCTTAATATTGACTTCATACACAAAGGTAAATTAAAAGCAAATAAATAAATAAATAAATAAAGGGCACCAACTGAAGATTCTACACCACTAACATATTTCACCTGAAGATTAACCACCCTAACCTAACCTCAGACGCGACAGAAATGAAAACTTAACAGATACCAACAGACGCGACCACCACCTCAGGACGCCGTGTGAGTTAGTGCCACCTGGACGAGTGTAGTATAGAGAGCGGTGGGCCAGAGTGGTATAGGCTGTGTGTGTGTGTGTGTGTGGGTGTCTTAGTGGACTTGTCAGAAAGTGTCCGGCCGTCACGACACTTCCTACCACCACTACTACCACCCACCACCACCATCGCTACCACCCCCCCACCATGACAGCAGTACAGGACCTCCGTGACCAAACTCAATCAACACGTTTCACAAAATTACACCTCCATGCCAGGTATCAATCGAGAGAGAGAGAAAAAACAGGAAAGAGAGAGCGAGAGAGAGAGATAATAGTCGTATTCATCTCAAAGGGTCAATTCGTCGTACTCAAGGGGTCAACTCGTCGTACTCAAGGGGTCAACTAGTCGTACTCAAGGGGTCAACCTGTCGTAATTAAGGGTCAACTCGCCGCACTCAAGGGGTTAACTCTGTCGTACCTACAAATAACTCATCGTACTCAAGGGGTCAACTCTGTCGTACTGGAGGGATTAACAACACTACCCACTGGAAAACACCAAATTTAATCACAGTCTCCCCACTCACATAAACAGAATAACGCCCCACATTCACTAGTAGATAAGAGTACGATTTACTGTGGGATTACCAGGAGGTGTTGGAGGAGAGGCAGGGGGTGTTGGAGGAGAGGGAGGGGGTGTTGGAGGAGAGGGAGAGAGGAGGACCTTCTTGCCTGTCTTAAACCCGTGCAGAACGCAGTAGATCAAGAGGTACTGTTGGGCAAAGGTGTTCTGTTGTCATGTACACCTGTGAGGATATTCAGAGGTTAGGTCAGATTAGGTGAAGTTAGGTCACGTTAGATAATAAGTCATTTGTGTTTATGACACCGCCTATCAAGATGTCTCGGAGTAACGGCAGGTGAAGGGGCGTGACATCATGTGATAGGGGCATGACATCAGGTGAAGCCCTTTGACAGGACAATTGACAAGCATGTTAATTTTGGTAGTAATAATCCCCGGCTTACTTTAGTCTTACTTCCGGAGCTGGATGAGGTGAGTGGCCGCCGATAATACTGTACTGGGTGTTATATGGGGAGAGATAAGGTGATCCCCCCCTACTACACCCTCACCCCTTCACTCTACCCCCTCACCCCTTCACCCCCTCACTCTACCCCCCTCACTCATAACTTCTACCCTTCCCCCTTACTCTACCACCCTCAGCCTCCCTCATCACCCCACCTCCACCCTCACCTCCCACCTCCCTATTCTAGGTCGTGTGTTGACCCAGGATGTCAGGGTGATTCATGGCAGAAGGAGCAGAAAAGAAAACTAGTCCACACAATTATGTTTCCAGAGACCAGACGAAGGGATAATTACCCTGGTGGTCCGTAAACCTAGCAAACCCTCCATTTACCGGACAGCAATCTCTATCGGGTTGTAGTCCGGTATAGAGAGGTTTTACTTCTAACGGATCTCTATATAAGGGAGTGTAATCTTTCAAAGAGGAGAGAGTAGGAAGAAGGGTAGGGGAGAGGGGAAAGAAAGGAGGGAGGAAATGAGGAAAGGGGAGGGGAAGGAGAGGGGGGAAAGGAGGAGGAGGGGAAGATGGGAGAGGGAGGATGGTATGTAAGGATAGGTTATGTTATATTTTCCGAGAAGTAATTTAAAGGGCGACTAATGACTTGCAGCTCAGAGACACACGAGAGGCAGAGATTCAGTACCTCAGATCACTAGACCACAAGGGGGAGAGAGGGAGAGATCACCCCCTCCACAGTCTCTCTCTCTCTCTCTCTCTCTCACACACACACACACACACACACACAGACTGTGTATGTGAGGGATGGTGAGGGGGGGGACAGGGATCGTATACACACACGCAACACGCAGGTACACACGCACCTTCTTGGCCCCCCACCCGGTAATTTCCCCTCCCGGATGATCCACTGATCTTGGGTATAGTGTGGCCGCCAACCTAACCCTTATCACAGAGCTGCTCCCTCCCCTGTGTGAGTGTGTGTGTGTGTGTCTCAACAGCCAGTATACATCCCAGGTACCCCACCCCCTCCATCAGGTCCTTCTGCCCCTCCTCCAGCGGCCACACGAGCACAAGGCCACACACACACAGCCCCAGGAGGTTCTTCTTCCCATGAGGCAATACCGTCACCCCAACACCTGGTAACTTCTTGATTGGTGGTGGTGGTGTTAGTAGCAGTAGTGGTAGTAGTAGTAGTAGTAGTAGTAGTAGTAGTAGTAGTAGTAGTAGTAGTAGTAGTAGTAGTAGTAGTAGTAACGATAATATTAATAATAGGTAATTTAACGTTAATATCTCACTTAAACTAACCTAACTCCTTCACCCCACGTGGACTTAAAACAGTATTAATGCATCACTGTTGACCTTTTACAGACATTCCTTCAGAGTAATCAACACACCAGGTAGTCTTAGGGGGGCGACGCCATCTTTAAAGGGACCACGCTCTTGTTGACGTGCGTGTACAGGTGTATGGTGGCTTAATTATACTACTACTACTACTACTACTACTACTACTACTACTACTACTACCACTACTACTACCACTACTACTACTACTACTACGAATATACACAGACAGAACAAACTCAGACATACAGAAAGAACACAAACACACAAAAATACAGACAGAGGCAGACGCAAACACAGACAGACAGACAGACAGACAGACAGACAGACAGACAGACAGACAGACAGAGACATCATGGCTATCATCGTTCGTGCATCATCATCATCATCCTTCTTTTATTTACCAAAAAATTCTTAATCCAAAATCAGTCACACAAACACGTGTATTTAACCCTGACTAAAATATCAAAACAAAATACCTTCAAGTCACTACACAATCCTGGTGAGTATTTTGGTTATGGTATTTTTAAACTTTTATTAGAGGTTCAGTTTAAGAAAAGTAGTGTCGGGAGTTTTGTTTATACTTTGGACTTTTTTTTAGTTTTTCATATAGTGTAGGAGTTAGTGGATGCTCTCTCTCTCTCTCTCTCTCTCTCTCTCTCTCTCTCTCTCTCTCTCTCTCTCAAAAATGGGAGGGAGGGTGGGTGAGGAGTGTTTTGGAGGGAGGAAAGAAGTTTTGTGGAAGGAAATGAAGGAAGGAAGGAAATGAAGGAAGGACAGGAAGGTGTAATCATATTGTTGTGTTGTCCCCCAGGTAGCTAGCTCCCCCAGAGCTGGATCCCACGTCTACTACAGTACATTACATCGATCTCCCCCCTAGTGACACACACACACACACACACACACACACACACCAAAAGAACATGACAATCTAATCAGATAACCCAATCATCCAGGTAAGTTAGAGAAGGTTTAATTAGTACCTCCCTCCCCCCCCCACTACCTGCGTCCACAAGATGGCATTAAAAATAAATAAAGTAAAACCTTTATTTAACGGACTGTAAAGAGGAGAGTCCGTTATATCGAGGGTTCCGTTATATGTGAAACCTCCATCTAAGGGATTACATGGAGAGAAGTGAGTTTTATGAAGGTTTCACTGTAAATCGTGGTCACTGCTGGTATTAGTTGACCTCCAGGGTGGGGCAGTACCTTGAGGCCACACTGTTGACCTCCAGGGTGTGGCAGTACCTTGAGACCACACTGTTGACCTCCAGGGTGGGGCAGTACCTTGAGGCCACACTGTCAACCTCCAGGGTGTGGCAGTACCTTGAGACCACACTGTTGACCTCCAGGGTGGGGCAGTACCTTGAGGCCACACTGTCAACCTCCAGGGTAGGGAGTACCTTGAGGCCACACTGTTAACCTCCAGGGTGGGCGGTCAGTGCCTAGAGGCCACCACCTCAACAGCTCAATAACGACTCGCTAATCGACTTTGGCCCAACAGTCACCTACAATGAGCTAAAGTCGGGCCACCTTGCTTGCCACTGTACGCATACACATCAATACTGAGGAGGACCTACAGTAGATACCTAATCTAACCTAACCTAACCTAACCTAACCTAACATAACCTAACTCCTACAGTAGATACCGGCCTTTGTGATCCTCTCCTCCCTCCCATCCCTACTACCCTCTCTCTCCCTTCCTTCCTCCTCCCTCCATCCCCCTACTACCCTCTCTCCTTCCTTCCTCCCTCCCTCCCATCCCCCTACTACCCTCTCCCTTTCCTTCTCTCCTCCATCCCTGCCCCCTCTCCTTCTTCCTCCCTCCCTCCCATCCCCCTACTGCCCTCTCTCCTTCCTTCCCCTCCCTCCCATCCCCTACCACCCTCTCCCTTCCTTCCTCCCTCCCTCCATCCCCTACCACCCTCTCTCCCTTCCTTACCCCCCTACAACCCCTACCACCCTCTCTCCTTCCCTTCACCCCCCTACAACCCCTCTGACTTATTTAATGGGGTCATAAGCTTCGGGTAGGTCGGTGTAGGCTTGATAAAAACAAAATCCCTCGATGGGTGAATTATGCAGGAGTGGGAGCTATTCCTTAAGAGTTGTTTTGGTTCAGCTAAAAATACACAACTCGTTCATTACAGATTATCTAGGGAAGACGGTGGTGGTGGTGGAGGAGGAACATCAGGTCCCTCCTTCCTCCTGTACCGTCCCTCATTCCTCCTCCACCATAACAACAAACAGAACATCTTCCTCACTCTCTCATCCTCTTCCTCTTCCCCCCATCAAGAGTCAAGCACCCACCAGAGCCCTCCACAGCACCCTGACGCACCATAAACGACAAGTTGTAAACAATGAAGAAACATTAGTTATTTCACGTTATTGTCATGTCC